GGCTCTTCAATGGGGTGTCACAGGGTCCCCAGGAAAAAAAATTGTAAATGTAAAATAATAAAATAAATATTCTTCTGTTGCAATAACAAAGTTTAACATAAATTATTCTGTAGCAATTACACAAGAATATCCAGTAATGTCCCTGCCTACATCAACTTAACAGTATCTTTTTGCTGATATTAAGTACATTTGCTTTTTCTAGCATACCCACCTGAATCTTATACTTTAACTGTTTTGTTGTTGATTTTATCTCATAGTGATTGTCTAAATTGGTCAAAAAGTGTTTTCGCTGATATTTTTCCATCATTGTGCTCTGATTTGCTTTTCTCTCTAATAGAAAACTGTGGTGAATCCTGCACCTGCAGGAAAGTGTCTCTTGCAGGTTGTCAACCTTGCTAAAGATGATGTCAGTCTGAAGGCTCCTGGCACCGATCTGTTTCTACAGTCCATCAAGTACCTTGAGGTAAGAAGAGTGCAGGTGGCTAAACTTTTCATACTTTTCACTGTTGCTCAAGGCGAATAGAATTAAAAACCACATTTCCCTGTCGTTCACATGTACAGTGGATTTTTCTTTGCATAAATGTCAGGAGTGTAGGCTGACCATTTCTCAGAGATCCACGTATGTATGAGTGTGTGTGTTCTCCAGGTTTCTTACCCCCCTGGAACCTTTTGAAAAAGCAGATGTGTACGAAATAATAAATAAACAGAATTTAACTAGTAATACATGTAAGAAGAGAGAGATAAGACAAAACTAAGGCTACGTCCACACGTACCCGGGTATTTTTGAAAACGCAGATTTTTCTATGCGTTTGCGCCTTTCGTCCACACGTAAACGGCGTTTTCGGTCACTGAAAACGGAGATTTCTAAAAACTCTGGCCAGGGTGGATACTTGATTTATTAGTTAAAAACTGACATAAAAACCTTATAACTTGTAAGTATAAAGAGACGGTGGTTCTAGTGAAATGTGTAATGTTGACATATAGAAACTACTGTAAAAGGATTTAAAATATCAAGTAAAATTTGACCTCTGACCTCTCCTTCAAGATTATTAGGTTGATTTGAAAAAAATATAATAACGCTGTATAGAGCAATTTAAAACTGTGTTTCTTACTACCATCCAGCCTATCCAAGCTGCAATAGGCCATCGTTTGTACTAACAACATATAGGCATATATGTAACTGTTC